AGAAGGATTATATCCAAGCTGTAAGGATAAGTCCTGCGGAAGGTTAGCCACTTACCATCTCTTATGTGCATATCACTCATGCTAATACATCGGCACAGAACTCGCCGTCTGTAAGTACACACAACCTCCGCACTATGCTTGACTTACTTACCGACATCTACAGTCTGGAACACCCACTCCCGCATCAGCAAGTCCATCGCCGAAGCGCACATCAAAGAATGGGTCTCCCTCTCGCCGCCCATCGAAATCAGCACGCCGTACGCACCCACGACGCCGCCGGACGCCTCGCCCGCCAACACGCTCGACACGCCCGACGAGCTCGCGCTGCGCTCGCTCCTGCTCGGCACCGTGCACCGCACGGCCGGCGAGCACGCCGCGGCGCGCGCGTTCCTCGAGGACGCGCACCGGCGGCAGCCGCAGCTCGCCGTGAGCACGTGGATCGGCGGCGTCGCGCTGTTCGAGCAGGCCGTGCTGCTGCTCAAGGAGACGCAGGCGGCCGAGGAGGCGAGCGCGGCGGAGATGATCGCGGAGGAGCGCGCGGACGGCACAGCCGCGCGCGATGCGAGCACGATGGGCGCGGTGACGGAGGACGCGCGCGAGCGGTGGAAGGACGCGCTGAAGCGCGCGGGGAAGCTGCTCGATGGTGCGATGGGGCTTGCGGGCAGCGAGATCGACCTGTCGTCGCGGTTAGAGAGCCGGATCGCGATGCTCAGAGACGAGATGGGGGTGAAGAGGGAGATGCTGGGGTTGTAGGGCGGTAGATGACACACGGTGGGTAGGTGGTGGAGAGACTGGACCGGATGGCTTTTGTTTGGAGGTGGATGGACGGCGATGTGGGGCGGGACGCGTAGTAAGTAGACTGTTTTGTTACTCGTGCTCGTCCTATCATAGAGTTATATAGCTGTATCATCATTAATCAGGGCACTTTTTTGCTATGGACGATAAATCGTGTCAATATAAGTAAGCGCGGCGCCAATAGATGCTTGATGCTCTCAAACCGTATAGCGACAATTTACAAATACATGCCCCATGGCTGAGTTGGTTACAGCGTCCGACTGTTATTTCAAGCAAACATCGGAAGGTCGTGAGTTCGAGCCTCACTGGGGCAGATGGTTATTTTATAATGGCAATGTCTTGCCTGCCTAGCCGACGTAAAAATGACGGGAACCAACAATCCTCCTATCCTAACAATCGAGCGCTCCTTGTCGACATAAGGTTTTGTCTCATGCCAATTCCGCCATTGCAGTGGCCAGGTAAATCACCTTACTTGCATCTACTAAAAGCATTTCGACACATATACCTGCCCCAGTGAGGCTCGAACTCACGACCTTCCGATGTTTGCTTGAAATAACAGTCGGACGCTGTAACCAACTCAGCCATGGGGCACATGATTGACTCCCTCCAGTTGCCTATCCGGAACAAAGCCCTTCCGGCGCAGACGCAGCGATGGGTTCTGGAACTGCAGGTATCTATTGCTGTGAGTGTATAGGAAAAAAAACAGAATTCGAAATCGAGGACTCTGCCCCAGTGAGGCTCGAACTCACGACCTTCCGATGTTTGCTTGAGATAACAGTCGGACGCTGTAACCAACTCAGCCATGGGGCATGCAGCGTTGTGGTACCACCGAATGCTACGATCAATCAACCACACCCTTCTGCTAACCTCCAGCAGACCTATTATTTACATACCATATCATTGCACAACAAGACTGTCCGAATCAAAGCATGCAAAAATGAATGTACGAGCATAACGCAGAACTTATGCCTGACCTATACCCTCGCGCCCCCATCAAGCAAATACCCACCCACCCCCAGGCCCTACCCGGCACACAAGAATCTATACCGTGAACAATGTGCATGAGTACTCGATCGTAAGTAAGTGCAGCTGACAAGATCTACACCAAAGCTATATGTACAATCCGAAATCCATCCTCTGCTCCACCATGCGCAACTCACAACAACTCACTCAAAACAAATCCGACCCAGGGAACAACCCGCTCATGCCCATCCCCTCCTCCTCATCCCGTGCCCTCCTCGCGCTCGCACTCACACTGGCACTAGCACTCGCCAGTCCAGACCCAACATCATACCCCCTCGACGCGGGCACCCCAACGGCGCGTTTCGGCGGGGACGCAGGCAGGCTCGGGCCCACACTCGCCTCGAGCTCCTCGCCCTGGTCAAACGCATGCAAGAACGGGTCCACATCCACATCGGCGTCCAGGTCGGCGTCCTCAGCCTCTTCCTCGTGGTGCGTGTAGATCTCGCGCAGGGGCGGCTCGGGGACTGGCTCGGGCGACGACTCGGGCGACGGCGAGGAGAGGTGCTCGACGCGCTGCGAGATGGGCTGCTGTGGCTTGGGGCGGGGCGGCGGCTGGGAGGGCGTCGGTGCGGGTGCCGTGCGGGTGTTGGACGGCGTGGGCGCGGGGCGCGTGCGGGAGGGCGCGGTTGTGCGGTGGGAGTCGAGTTCGAACTGGTGCAGAAGAAATCAGATCGGGCCTGGGCTGGTGGATGGCATGCAAGGCAAAGGCACATACCAACTCGAACACCTCCGCTCGCCGCCTCTCCCCTACATCCTTGTCGATGCAGTAACACAGGTACAGCGTGTCCGCACTACGGGGTATCGATGTGAGCATTGCAACCGCGTCGACGACGCAACAAGACGTACACATCTTTAACAAGTCCAACACAGAACAGACCCACAAGAGCAGTAACACCGCCCGCAAGGAACGCCGCGCCCAGCGCCTCCGCAGGCGCACTCAGCGTATGCGCAACAAACAGGTACGTGAGCAGCGCAAACGGGAACGTCAGCGTGAGCGGGGCAATCGTCAGCAACGTCAGCGGGGCTGCACGACCACAACCACATCCGCGATCAGTTACCCCATTCCCTCCCGAAGCATAGAAGAATGCACGCACGTTCAGTCTTAAACCGCCGCCTGTACCGCGCGCTCACAGTCGAGCCAACACCCTTGCTCTCGACCGCGGCGACCAACGCCCGCGCGCGCCTCGCCGCCGGCCAGAACGGGTCGCCCGTGATGCCGACGTACACGAGCGCGTGCGCGCTCAGCGTGCCGGCCGCGCCCTCGAGGTACCCGGCCGCCACGCCTGCGGCGTACGCGAGCGGGCGGGCCGTCGGCGGGAGGTAGAGGGGCGCGCGGCGGAGCAGGATCGTGAGGAGCGTCAGGATGCGGACGCCGGTCAGGATGAGCGCGGAGAGCGCGATCGTGCCCAGCGACGGCTGCGCGGCGCGCGTGAGCGCCGCGTGGATGGTGTGTGTCGACATCGGGGGCGGCGGCGCCATGTCCGGGCTGCATGAAGAAAGAGCGGGGAATGAGCCGGGGGCACGATGACGAGAGAAAGAAAAAAAGGGCAAGCGTACTCGGCAAAGTACCACGCGGCAATCACGCCTGCGGTCGTGACGCGGAGCACGCCGCGCGCGACGCCCCATGTCCACAGCCAGATGCCGGCAGCCGCGACAATGGCCCAGTTCGCCCAGCCCTTGACGTGCCATTGCCAGCCCCCGGCGGGGTGCAAGAAGTACCCGATGAGGAGCAGGCGGAAGATGAGCGTTAGGAAGGGAATGGAAGCGATGAGCACCGCGAGCAGGACGGAGGGCGAGAGCGCGAGCAGAAAGGGGTTCGCGGCGAGGAGGTCTGTCGTTTGAGTGAGGAGCGCAGACGCCATGTGCATGTCTCGCGGAAGGTGGACGAGCCGCCGGGCGGTCAGTAGAGCAAGCGCCAGAGGCACTAGCGAGAAAAGGCGCAAGCTACAAAAAGCGTATGAGTTCGGCAGAGTAAAATAAATGGCATTAGCTGCACTCACCCCCACGTCTCGCCCCACGTCGGCTCGGTATTGGCATCCCACATGAAACTCCCGACGAATGCCCATATCGCGGATATCAGCAACGTCGCGGGCACGAATACAGAAGTCGCAAAGACGACGGGGCGCACGAATATGCGCAGCAGAGCAATGTGCGTATACGACACGATCGCACTGACGAAGGTCAGGATGATGAGCATCGGGACGGTATGCAAGAAAGTGGTGTAGGGGAGAGACTGCTGGTGCTTGGGCGGCTTGCGGGTGAGGAAGAGGACAAGAATGGAGAAGAACACGCAGAGTGATAGCCCCGTACACCAGACGGCCGTCCATATCGAGTCGTTGTATTTTCGTCTCGAGCGGGAGATGTGCCGCGGGTCGGGAAGGGAAAAGACGTCGAGCGGTCGTGTGCGGCCATCGCGCGGGAGCAGCGACTCGGTCAGGGAGAGCGACACGGCCGTGCGGGGCGGGGGCGGCACTGGCGGCGATCTGGACGCAGGGGGCGGCGGGGGTGGTCGGTGTTCGTGCGGGCGCTGCGTGCGCGCGAGGGCGGGATTGAGGAGATCGGCAGGAGGGGTGCCTGAATCGGAAGAGGAGGACGGCGCCGGCGACGGCGAGCGGAGCGGCGACGCCTGGTGCGCCAGCCAGCCACGGCTGGGCTCGCCTTCTGAGGGCGCATGCGAGTCTATGAGAGGCATGGAGTGAGGATCGAAGTGTGCTCTGCTTCCTCCGGCGAAGAGATTGGGATCGTCCTCGTCGAGGCGCAGATACGGGTCGTCGTCGTCGTGATCAGCATGATGGCGTGAGCTGAGAGCGCGGCTGGCAGTAACATCGCTGGCGCGGAGATGGGGGTCGTCGAGGTCATCGAGGTCCGAGTCGTTGTTACCTGCACGGGATGCATCGTCGTCGGTGGAGAAGGAGAAGAAGAGGGGCTGGGACGAGGAGAGGCTGGATGCGGGGTTGCGCTGGCGGTTGAGGAACTGCGACGCGTATGTCGCAAAGGAGGCGGTCATGTCGACGAGGACGATGGACGAAGAGCTGGAGGCATGCGAGGAGAGGCTGCTGCACAGGCTCTTTCTCCCGCAGACGCGTCCTCTACGTAACCGTGTGAACAAATATCGCACAAGTCAAGCTCTCTCCATCCCCTGCTTTTCTCCTCTAAAGATACAATATGCTCTATCCCAATACGTCTGGTTGGCTCAGCTGGTTAGAGCGCAGGTCTCATATCTCTATGAGTCAGGTATTTCCTGATGCAATCCTGAGGTCGTGAGTTCGATCCTCACACCGGACATGAGACCTCCTGAACATGTTGTTTTTCCTTCTCGAGTATTCACAAAGTCAAACATTACTCTAAAACCTGTATACTACACGCAAGGCAAGCAGACAATGACGGTGACAATCCCTATACAACCAAGAGGCATGGACGTAAGCTAACGACGCCCGAGAGCATGACCAAGAGAACAGCCCTAGTGCAACGTTCACATGTTTTATTCTGTAAGAAGCACCAGCAAGCTGACACGAGTGTATGGTACCACCTGCAGCACCCGTGCCGACAAAGAACACACGAGCCGTAACGAATCTTCATCTGCATCCCGAGCGCGTACCGCGCCTCCCCACCCGGCCGAACGCTGTACATGTCCACAAGCGCGTTACGCGCCTCCCGAGAAAAGCGCCCGAGCAGGCAAGCGCCATAGGCGTCACGGTGACTCGGCCGTGCTGTGCAGAATTTCGAAATTGCAAGCGCACTCGCGATGCGCCATGCGCACTTGAGTTGAGGATAGCGCCAGCGACGAGCGCAGCGCGGCGCTCGAGTGGTGATGTGAGAGCGACGGAGACACCGAGGGGCCGAGGCTGACTGAGCTGAGTACCTGCTCCAACACAAGCACGAGAACGGACTATAGAGAATTGCGGATGGTATACATAGTGAATTGACAAGAGGCCATAGTTCAGTCGACGTCGCCGTCGCCCGAGCGCAAGTCCGAGGCAGCTGCTATCAAAATTAACCATTAAGCAGCCTCGGTCGACATACCAACGACATAATGACAAAAGCCCGAAACACGGATACGCAAGGCCACAAGGGCGACGGCTGACCGGGGCCCTACCACCGAGTCTGAGCAGCGTTTCAATCCTGCCAATCCCGAGTCCGAACCCGAACTCAAACCCAAACCCCACCCCGCGTCGCAAGGCCCAGGGACGACACGCCCACTCTGACTCGCGAGCGGATCCGCGCGCCGGACTCAGGACGTGCGCACTCTTCTCGCCGACACACCGCCACGCAGGCAAACATCGACAGCCGCCGGCGGCGCACACGCAGATCGGTTGTGCCTCGCCCAAACGCCCACCGCTCGCCAATCTTGTGCGCCAAACTGCGAGGCGCCCGGCCGTGGGTGGATGCACGGCGAGCGGCAGCTGTGGGTTGTGGGCAGCGCAGGCCCCGGGACGAGGGAGGGGTGCACGCGAGCATGCATGGGTGCGGGACGCTCAGGCAGGCGCGTTCGGTCTGCGAGCGGGCGTCAGATTGGCGTTGCACTCTGGCTCGGATGCTGCTCCTGGTCCTGGCGAGCGCGCGGTGGGCAGGCGAAGTGAAGACGAAGCTAGGAGTGTTAGAGCCGCGATGGGATCGTCACTATCACCGTCACTGCTATCAGGCCGGGTGCTTGAAGTGTAATCTGACAGAATCGATCATGTCGAGTGCGAGCTGAGTGACATCATGAGAACGACTGTGAATAATAATGTCGACGGCGCGTGCTGTGGGAATAAAGGTGTAAGGTTTGCAGGTTTGTAGTGTCGATTAGGTTGCGAGATTTGACGGCAGAGTGCGGATGCCGCCAATCGATTCGATAGATAGATGGAGATGCAGTTGCGGGATGACGAGTCGAGGAGCGTCGCACGTCTGAATCCGTGGGTGCAGGCGCGACGACGTCACTGCGAAGTCGAGATATGACGACGTGAATGAGCTCAAGGTGGTCAGATGTAGATTCAGATGAGAACGCCAACCTTATCCACGCCACGCACAGCTCGCGAGCACGTCGAATATATTCCTGCGTAAATGATCAGCCAGAAAACGCGCCTACAAGTCGCACACGCAGCGTAAAGCAGACGGCAATACGCCACTAGTACTGCGAGACCCGCGGTGTTTGATCGATGGTTGATAGGAGTTAGGACGGTGTATGAAGAGCAACACTGAGGGAGACGTAAAAGCGCACTGGATCTGCTTTGCGAGCTTCTGTTACCTCACACGGCCCAGTATCAGGCTGTAGCCTTCCAGCTTCTCTCGTACTTTCGAAATTGAAGAACCTTCGACATTGAATCAGTTCGCTACTGGCAGAAGACTGAGCGGAAACACACCGTTATCACCTGTATTAAGTCGCCTGCAGCAAGCGTGCCGGCCTGCGAAAGGCAGCTCCCTGTATGTATACATGGACATGTGAATACAAAAAAGCAAGATGCGGAAGCAGATTCCCGTCTGCCTTTTGAGAAGAGGCAGAAAGGGCTGCACTGTCACTGACCGGCACGCCGTGATTTCATCTCGGGTTCTGAGAAGTCATCGAACGAGATGACCTGCGCAAGGCCGCGCGATAATCTCGAGTCGCATGTCCATTCGGACAGCATGCTCGATGCCCTGTGGGTTGTGAGTGCAGGCGGCAGGCCACGATGTCCCATCTCGAGGAAGCCAGCTGCCCATCACGGTTGACAGACTTCCACAGAAACCTACCTTCAGGACCATCTGGTTCCGCGGTGTGCTGCAGATGCGGCCATATGCGATGTGCTCGGGCACATATCGTTCCGCGTGCATTCCGCTTCTCGACAGCCTGCAGCCCAAGTTCGAACGGCGGCAGATGCAGACTAGTTACTGTGACGGCACTCACGCAATGCGCTGCTGGCGACAGCAGCCGTCGCAGCCCATACGAGCAAGAGCTGCCCCGAGGCGGAGGGACCGGGCATTCGATTGAGAGTTCCACGGGGAGCATGGGGACAGCGAGCTCTGCGGGGAAACGTTGGGATTCGGACGCAGTGGCGGCGCCACCGACGGACGCGAAAGGCAGGCGGACGTTCCACCAGACGCGCTCTGCTCGGACTTGTGCCAGGGCCTGTCTCTCGTCCTTCCATCTGCCCTTCCACCGTCCCCAACGGCCAACATTCTCCCGCCTCGCGCCTGCGCATGCGCGAGATCCGGCATCGATTAGTACGTTCTCTGCTGCCGCTGCCCACCTGACCATAAACAGTCTGCAGCCCGCCGGGGTCGAACCGCCCGCCCCCACCCGAGGCTGCCATTCAGGCTCTCCTCGCGGCGCGTCAGGTGCCCGCCTTTATCACGCTCGCCGCCGCGGGCGTGTCCCGACGGCTGCCCACCCTGCCGCTCGCCGCCAGCTGCGACTGCGGTGCCCCGGCGGATCATCGCCGTGCTGCCCCAGGCCAAGGACTCAATACATATTCTCGGATGCCTGGGGCCACTTTCGACATCATACTGCGAACCAGCGCAATCGTTATCTCGTCCTCGTTGCGGGCTAACGCGTCCTCGATGCCCGCTTCTAGCCCTTCCGCACGGCTTTAGCAGCGCGTCTGCAGCCACGTTCGCCTCGGCTTAGTGATCCTATCACCCTATTCCTGCCTCCTCGCCTTCAACTTCCTTATTCTGGCAACCACACCACAGAGTCCACTACGTACACACCGGGACGCGGCACGCTCACCCGCCGACGTCATCCGCTCCTGCTCTGCTCAGTGCTCGACCCCGCCTCCCCAGTCCAGATCCAATCAGGCTAGGCACCCAGATATGCTTTGCGTGCCCTTTACCGCTTCGAGCTCCCCGGCACGCCCAGGCCCCCGCACGCATTGGGCATTCGGCAGACACTTCTGATGCTCGACGCCCACTACGATCCTGGGCGACCACGACGCAGGATCCACCGACTGCGTACTCGCATCGTGGCCTGCCGGGCAGACACGCGCACGCACATCCCCATCGGGCGCGCTCGACGAGCTGAGTCCGGTCGGCGGGCGCTGCCGCCGGGCTTCGTGGCCTCTCGGATTGGCTTCGGGCTCGGGCTGGGGTTCAGCTTCGGCACGGCACGACTCGGCCGCTGGCGTCGACCGTACTGCAAGCTTGCAGTACCGTGCTCTGATCATGCATGAGCTTCTGACCGTCCGACAGCGGGAGCCAATGGGCGCGGGTGGGTCATCTCTGGACGTGAGCGGGCTTCGCGGATGTGTGCGCGTGATGCGGAGGCGGGAGATGGTGGGCGCGCGCGTGTGCGCGCGTGCGTATATGCGCTCGCAGGTGCCGCCGTCGCCGTGCTCGGTTCAGCTGAGCCCGTGGGTGGTAAGGATTCTCCAAGCGGTCGTGTGGGCCAGTCTGCCCGAACGCGCAGACGAAGACGAGCCTAACCTTGATCTATGTATATGCAGCCGCTGACCGTGACATGTTCATTAGGCCCACAGACGCTGCGTATTCTTATTGTTTGCACCGGTACCACACTAGGACTGCCCACTCGGACGACGCGCCCCGAGCAAGCCCTATACCCCACACGCACGTTCCTGGATCCCGAATCCGAGACCCGCCATCTTATCGCCATCCACCACGTCGACGCGGAACTGATCTTCTTCTGAATCATCTCTGCAGGACAATTGTGTACGCCACTTGTGGTCTGAGACTGCAGCTTCTATGTAGATCATCGCGTCCCGAGGTCCGTATCTCGAGGCCTGGTTATCGCTTGATGTCGATACCATCGTCATCGGGCCCGCAGGCACCGGAATGAACGCTGCACTGGCAGTACACAGGGCAACTTAGGTCTTCACGCTGACGCTACATCCAATTTCTCGCCGCAGCAATCATATCCAAGCTGTGTCTCCAGGAATAATCCAGGAGTACTTACTTATATCTGCGCAGCCAGGCAGCATATGCGCAGGGTCTGCTATTATTATTGTTAGGCCGTGTCAATGATGGGGGCGCTCTGATCAATCGCAAACGCAGCAGGAGACCAGCATCACCGGCGGCCGGCGGTAGCGATGGGCACCCCTTCCCTTCCCCTTCCCCTCCGCGGTCGTGGCGTTTGGGCTCTTGGGCCATTGGGATTCGGCGGTGTACCTGGTGCGCCGTGGGTGATATACCGCTAGGCAAGGCGAACCGGTCGTGCGCTCGTGCTATCTGGCGAGATTTGGTGCTGCGGTGTTCCTATAGGCCTGGTCGCTGGATGATGTAGGGTACGCGTGCTCTATGTCTGTACTTTCTGAGAGAATCAGTGTTACAACGTCGACAGTCAATACGATATCGTACGCTCCATAGAGTGTGTGCGT